TTAATTCTGTTTTTTCCTTCACAGATACTGCCAGACCTACTGAGCTTCTCCAGCAACTTTAATTTTGTTCCTGATTTACAGCATCTGCAGTTCTTTTGGTTTTCATTCAGCCTATCGATTCTGCTCCGCTCTTCAATGAGATCATGGCTAATCTCAACTCCACTTTCCTGCCTTTCCCATGATGCTTAAGTAACATTAGTGACATTGACTTGAGATAATGCTAAGCGTAATTACAGAAATTGAAACACCGTGTAGGCCAGTAGCTAATAAAATCGGGTATTATATCCAGTTCTAGCTGCCTATGATGAAAACAGAATTCTTATTGGCCAAGAGCAGCGTCCTGTACTTTGAGGAGATCTGATGCAGTTTAGGTGATCACTTTGTCAGCCACTTTCATTTTGTTTGCCGATGCAACCCAGAGCTCCCAGTCACAACATTTCATTTCCATTCCCCTTCCCATTCTGATTCCTCTATCTCTGTCCTTCAACTTTGTTCGAGTGAACTCGCACAAGCTCCATGGATCAGTACAATATAAGTGTTAGATACAGTTTATCCCTTTGGCCTCAGGAATAATTTTAATCATTGTAAGCCTTAATTATAACCCATATCTCTCTAGCAGAACAGACTGCTGCTGTGGCATTTGTGTCACATTGCTTCTAAAGATAAGAACTAGGAACCAAAATAGGCTATTTGGCCCTTCAAGTCTGCTTCACCACTCAAAAAAATCATGGCTGATCGGTTTGTGTTATGATTTCCGTATTGCCAACTTTTGATTCCCTTGCTGAGCAAAAGTCTTGAAAGTTCCCCATATTTTTGTCATGCAGTGATGACCCTTAATTTTAAAACTGTCCCCCAGTTCTGGACTAAGCCACAAGAGTTAACATCCTCTCCACATCGACCTTGTCAAGACTATTCGGGATCTTATAAACTGCATTCAAATCATCCCTTGCTTTTCTGAATTCTAGTGAAAAAAAGCCTAGCCTGTCCAACTATTCTATAAGATTGACTTCTGAATCGTTGTACTTTCTGGTAAAGATCCCGTGAACAATCTTGAGTGCATTTTCATGCATTCTTAAATAAGGAGACCAAAACTGCACAGTATTCAAATTGGCGTCTCCCCAATGCCCTGTATCCTGAGGCATAACTTACTTACTCTTAGGTCAGTCCCATTCTTAATAAAGGCTGCTATCCCATTATCCTTCTTGATTATGTGCTGGGCCTTCGTGACTCGTGCAATTAGAAATCTAAAAGCCTTTACAACTCAGAATTCTGCAGGCATTTCAGTAAAGTAGGATGGGGGAAGTAGTGTTGGAAGCAGGCTTTGGTTGAAATTTGAGATGGGGAATCCTCCACTTGAAGACTGTATCGGTAGTGGGATCTCCATCTTTGAGATTGATCCCTAGAACTATTTGTGTGTTTTACTGATAGTAAACTACCTTGAAAACATTGAAAATCATTGTATATTAGCCTTTTGCATTACTTCTAAAATATTTAGAAAAATAATATTTTGAGCTTGATTTGTTCATGAAGCTTGTGCAGACTCGCAGCAGGATCTGCACAGTTCTGCTGTAAAATTTAGTTGGGCTTTCATAAAAATGGGTTTGAAGCACATGTTGGTATTAGTCCTGATCTGTGATATGCTAAACTTTATTGGAATACTTGGTGCCAGTATTCTGCCAGAGATAAAACTGGTTACCTATCCATGTTTTGCATCCTCCACAAGCTTAAAAAAAAAGTTCATACCATCACAGGGGTTATGTGGGCAACTGTATTCTTTCTCTTTTTGATTACTTGCGTGTGTTTTAAACATGTCTATTGATAACCTTATTTTGGGACCTGGCTTGAAAGAGATGGTTTTTGTATTAGCGAGTTAAATTTGCATGATTTGATGAAACCACAATAATTCAAATACCCTAACAAATGCTTGCGAATATTAATTCATACCTTTCTTGGTTCACTATTTTTTTTAAGTTGGAACTCAAATTTTTAATGTCACATATTAGAGATAATACTCTTGAAAAATAGGGTAAGTGTTTTAAACTGGCTTCAGAAAAACAGCTCTGTAATCAAGTGTTATGTTGTATAATCATCAATGATCATTCCAAATTCTAGTAATCCCAATAATCGTTATGTTCCTGCACTTTTAGAAGCACTAATTAAATCATATTTGATAATTTGAGCATTCACAATATAGTCAGTATCATATATACCTTCCTAATAGATTATTCTGTGTTCTTCATGGGACAAGTCCAGTCCTTCATTATGTTTTATGTCATTGTCAGGACCTTGTTAGAAATAGTGGTAGTTACCACTATCCTGTTATTGGTAATGATAATTTATTTAAATTTAGGTGCCAAGTTTAGGGCATTGACTGAAGTGGACATTATTAAGAATTTGTTTAAATTTCTGATGCTTATTTAACAATAACAAAGTGCAATCCCATGGTATATATTGTGTTTTATTATGGCTTGTGTGATCTGTTTTCAGTCTAGGACAGAAGATAAAATTGAGCAATTCAAGAGAGCAGTTGAATATTACTCCATTGCAAGCAAACCTCCATTAATCCAACATGGCCCAACACCTTTCCCAGGTACCTATTGAAGCGTGAAAGGATGTGTGATTCTGTTGTGTGTAAACATTTGTGTGATTTTTTTTGAGTTTTGTACATTTAGTTTGCACTTTAAACATGGTTTAGCAAAATAAGTGTTTCATCAATTTTGATAAACCTAAATCTTTTTAATAAACTTAAATATTAGATCTACCTTTTGCAGTTCTTGAGTCTATAACTTGCAGCTTAGGCTAGTAGTTGAGTGTCCCAATTTTAGTACACGTAAAATCGCAAGGCTTTATCTCCCTTTTTTAAGTTTTGACTTCAGACAAACTGGTCCTGTAATTGAGTCTGAAACAAACACACAGAATGCTGGAGAGACTCAGGAACTCTGACAGCATCAGTGGTGAGAGAAACAGAGTTAACGTTTTGAGTTTGGTATGACTTCTTCGGAACTAAAAGGCATTGGGAAATGATTTTTTTATATACTGTTGATAGAGGCAGAGGAGGTGTAAGTGGGTAGATGGTGAAGAGGCCCAGTGTAGAAGAAAAACGTTGTTTAAAGTGGTGAAGGATGAAAAGAGATATACAATGATGTGAATTAGAATGTGAAAGGGAGAAAATTGGTCCCCACTGAGCAAAGTAATCAAGACAAGGCTGTGGGAGGAAGAATGCAGTCAGTTTCTCAGTTCTGAAGTTCTGGAATTCAGTGTTGAGACTTTGAGGCTGTAAAGTGCCTAAGCAGAAAATGAGGTATTGTTTCTCAGCTTGCATTTTACTTCGTTGGAACTTTACAGCACACCCAGAAATGTAAGTGTGGTTTTTGAAAAGCAGCTGGAAGGTCACGGTCATTGCTATGGACTGAGAGGAGGTGTTCCACAAAGCAGTCATCCAGTCTGTGTTTGGTCCCACCAATGTAAAGTAAGCAGCGAATGCAGTAGACTAGATAGAAAGAAGTAATTGTGTTTTCTGCATCTGAGTTGAGAATAATTGAAGCTTAAGGAATGAACTTACGGAGTGACATTTGAGACTGAATCGTTTTGGAGTGCCTGCCATTATACATGCTATCCATAATTGTAACTGTCTTCTACATCTAAATTAAGAAATATCTTAATTAGTAGTAAAGACTTGTACAACTGAATTTATGGTTTGGACTTGCACTGAGATTTGATCATTCATGGTTTAAATCAGCAGAATAGTGAGCACTAGCTGTTAATTGTACTTGGTGACCTTGTGGATTTACATCCCTCATTTAAAATTATATCTAGCAATTTGGTACTGACTTACCACTCGAGTGCCTAGAGCTGGTCTGCTTAATTTTTAGATGTACAATGAAATATTGATTTTTTTTTTGAGAGCCATTCAACAAACCTGGCTTATCCTTCCGTGAAAACTTGTAACTTCCTCTCATGCATTTTCAACATTACCTTCTAACCACTTTGAGTTACTTAAGTCTTTAGCACTCTTGCCTTATTAAGAAGGCAGTTACACATATGCTGGCCTTCACATAAATCTTTAAAGTTAAAGAGCATTTAGAATGGTAGCTGTTATATTCTATTCAGCATCTTGTGTACTTTGGCAGTTACCTTTTTTCAACTTGGAAAAATCCAAGTTTTCAAGCTTTTTCCACGGTTTTGTCTTCATCCCCTTTCTCTCTTATTCTTGGCTTTCATCCTTCAAGTTTTATCTTTGGTATTTCTGAAATGCTGCAATGGAATTTTATTCAGTAAACATATATTTGTGTATATGCATTAGGTATCATGCACTTAAAGAATTATATCAAAGGTAATAGCATGCTACTCAGCCTTAACTGCAGTTGTTCATTTGTTGATCAGGTCCCTGAGTTGTTAAAACTTTTCAATTTTATTCCTACACTTAAGGAATGAGACTGAATCAATTTGGAGTGCCAGCTATTGTTCCACACTATCCACATCCACAAATGCTTAACATTCCACAACCGCACCTTCAGGCAAAGACTGTGGTAAGTTTGATCGATTTCAGGTATCCCTGAGTCGCTTTGATAATGTTCTGTTTAACAGTACAGCAAACTCTTCGTAAGAATGGTGGCATATTGGCAAAACATCCATCATAATATTTTCTTGGCTGGTTTTAGATCCAATTTAGCAAGTTAACATATGAGCCCAGATATTCTGATTGGAATTGCAGGTTGGTACCATGCAGAAATCCCAACACAACTGACTCCAAAGAACTTGCCTGGGAAATTGAAAATTATGATTAGTAATTTCCCAGTAGCTGGAAGCCTCCAGAAAAGCCTCTTAAATTGGTAGTATTGTAGGGTTATGACTCACTTGAGCTTGACAGTTACCCAGAAAACGTTACGATAATTCCTGGGTAACATAAACTGAGCCCCCAGTTACCATAAGACAATAAGTTGTGGGCGAAGAATAGACCATTTAGCCAATAGAGTCTGCGCTACCATTCAATGAATGTGTATCACTATTCCTTCACTATTGCTGGGTCAAAATCTTAGAACTGTATCCCCAAGGCATTGTGGATCTCCTTACACCAAATGTACTGCAGTGGTTTAAGAAGGAAGCACCTTCTCTAGGACACCTAACGATGGGAACCAAATGCTTGTCCAGCCACGATGCCCATATCTCTTTTTAATTTTTAGTAATTGCGTTTAGTTGTATACATGTAGTGGGCTTGAATCCCTGTGAATAGGAACAGTTTATTGGATCAAAAGGTGAATGTTAGTAAGATGTAACTTTGTAAGTACACATAAACATGCATACATTGTAGGTTGGTTCCAGTTCTGGCGTCAACCAAATGGCTTTTTCATTTGTAACAGCAGGTGTAAAGATTCATCAATGGCCAAGAGGCAGAGTTGTACAATAAAACTACGAAAGGCAGGAAATTAAATATGCCAAACAGGCTTGATATCAATGACATGAGGCGATGATTGGTTCTTGTGCATTCAGTACCTATGTAAGGTTATTGACTGTTGCCCTGCACTGACTCCAAATATGCGGTGTTTTTAAGGTAGCAGTTGTTACGAGGTGTTTTTGCTAAGAGAATAATCTTGCTTTCCATTTCTGGAATGGGGAGGTAGGTGCAGAGTTTACAGTGAATATTACTGAAGAGTTTACTGTTGGGTGACGTTAAGAACATGTGGGCGTCCCTTCTTCAGATCTGGACTGCTCTGTGACCTACACTTACAGAATCTCAGATATTATACTTGTTGTTTATGATGTTATATAAAATGTGCCCTTTAAGCAGTTGGCTGACCTGATAATCCTCAGCTCCACTTTCTTGTCTTTCCCCCATAGTTCTTGATTCTGTTTCTGATTAAAACTCTATCTCAGCTTTCAATATGCTTACTGACCCAGCTTCAACAGCCCTAAGAGTGACGTTTAATACAGATTCAGTACTCTCTGAGAGAAAAATTCATCCTCATCTCTGTCTTAAATGGGCGACCCCTTTTTCTCGACATAATGCCCTCTGGTTCTAGACTCTCCGACAAGGGGGTGAGAAAGTATCCATGTCCAATGATCAAATCAGCTAAGAAGCTTCTATATTTCAGTAGAGACTCCTCTCATTCTTCTAAACTCCAAGACCAGCCTACTCAACCTCTCCTCATAAGACCATCCCTCCATTCCCATGAACAAGATAGTGAATTTTCTGTTTACTAATTGATTTCATTTTTGATTTCTGTTTGCACAGAAAGAAAAAGAAATTAGAACTTTGTATAGCATTGTTAATGTACACAGCCTTACTAGTAGTGTTTTAAAGCCATTGTAGCACTTTGGATGTGCTTAATGCAATCATTTACTTGTCAGCAATGCGCTACTAACAGTAATAAGAGAAATAAAGAGATATTCTATATCGTGGTATTTATGGAGAAATAATTTTTAGCCAGGCACTTCTAAATTTATTTTGTTCTGCTGCCAGGCAGAATAGTTCTTAATTTGATGACACCTTCGTTAATGCAATGCTGCCTCAGTACTGTTGTTAATTAGAATTTCTTCTTCTTGTGTTTAGTTTTTACTGCCTTTGAAAGTAGCTACACAATTGTTGAGTATATCAAAATCTCAGAGATGTAGATTTTAACAAATCACCACAATATGATTTAAAATAACTAAGGTGAAAGCTTGTGTTTTCGATGGCTAAATTCCAAGTCAGAGTATTAGTTTGCAAAATGTAGACAAACCAAAATTTATTACTGGTTCTGGGTGTTCTCAGATTGTTTATTAAAATGCTAAAGCTCTTCGTTTAGCCATCCTTAACTCAAAAATGTTAACATTTTCACTTTGGAAAATGCACTGAGGGAAGTTGAAAATTTATAAAAGTGTTTGAAGTGACAACATTACTCATTGGAAGGAAGTTCAAATGCACTCCTCCAATTGTACACATCTTTAACCTTATACAGAAAGCACCTTCTCATGACTATTACTTTTGTCTAATTCAGCTCTGCGTAGTAATTGAACAAATATCAATGTTGCCACATACGCACCTTTGTGGGATGATTTTGCTGGCTTGATGCTGTTTGTAGCTTATTTATGTGTTTAAGCTATGTATACTTTTAAACCTGAAGCCTTATTTCTACTGCACCATCTGAGGAAAAATTGATGTAGTCTTCACTGATGCAGTTCAAATTTGGATTACTGTCTGATTGTGCTAACTTCCGTATAAGGCCAAACAAGAAGAAAGAGCATCTGTGTAGTGCACTTTTACGGTCTCAATGTCTCAACGCAATTTGGAATCATAGGATTGGTTTTGAGTGAGAAATTTAGCCATACAGGTTTACTGCATCTGGTACGATGTGTAGTTATTCATAGTTCAGGAATATTCAGAGACTAAGAACAATTCTGAAATTATTTGATGCTACATTTTGTTTCATTCTGTCAGGGCCAACAATTAGCTGGCCAATCTACCACTTCAGGACCAGGAACTTCAGACTTGTACTCGGTGAACAAAGATCAACCTTCACCAATAGGTACATACCAGCCTGCCCTGTCTGACCCCAGCCTCGCCCTGGAATCCAACAACAATTACAGCAACATTCCTCATGAAGGGAAGCATACACCTTTATACGAACGTTCCTCACCAAATATTTCTACAGCTTCAGCTGTGAGTCCAAATCATTGTGGTATAGAAGCTCCATTTTTCCCTGCTTCTTCAACATCATCCTCGTCCGACAATGAGGAAAATAGGGGTGCTAATAAGTAAGTGCTTAATTCCTTTGTGGGCAAAATGTTATATTGAATAACTGTAGGGTGTTACATTCAAAGTTCAGTTTTCAGATAAAATGTAGATTCCTTCATATAACTGGATGAAAATCCTATAGATAATGATTATTTGTGATTTGATGCAGAAGTTGAAAGTGTTCAAGTAAAATGGTGGCACAGCATGTGTTTGTCACTGATTTTACAGTGAGAGTTTTTTTAACAATTCAGAACTTTGTTCATTCAAAAATAAGTTGAATAAGTCAAACTGTAGACGAGTTTGTAAAAGCTGACCATTTCATCGTCAACTACCGTGCACCTAAAAACAGTCAGAATTTTTCTGCAAGGACCTGGAAAATATGTAACATCATATATGAAAATAATGTAACGAGTCAATTGAACTTATCAGTATAGGAAATTTGGAGAAATTAAAACCTGAACTTGCGTTAGTGTAACTTTCAGTGGGTGCAGCTTTGTACTGAGCAGAACATTCCTCTTAATTATTATCTTACTAATTTCGTTGTAAAAGTTGGAGCACACATGAAAAGTTTACTTGGCAAACACTCCTTTCAGTGATAAAAACGTGCCGTTTAATTCTCATAAACTATATTTGGGTTTAGTTTAAAATGTTATAACAACCTCTAAGAAAATTTAAATGGTTGGCTTTAACTTGTATTCATATTTTTAAAAAATTACTTGAAAGTAAATATGATGCAAATAAGTCTAATTAAAACTGGTTGGATGCTAATGAATAACTAAATATTTCCCATTTGCTGGTGTTTCTTTAAACATTTACAAATACTGGCAGTATATTTGCTCTAAGGATGCTGTGGATAGAAAAGCGATCTTCAGTACGGGTGTCATATGCTTTTTAGCAACAATCAGTCATTAAGTTTCAAAACACATCTTTTTCTTTTTAAATAGAAAAGTGACATTTGTTGAACGATGTGGTTATTGTTTTCTTGAAAATATTAACTAGAATAGAAAAGCAATTCTGATATTCTTGAAAAACTGGCTTTATGATTTTTGAGTATCAAGTTATTTTTAGAATTCATATTATGTTTGGCTTTGAACTTAGCATGCAGTGAGGTTTATTCTTGAACTTGGATGCATTGGATTTATTTGGCTTTGCTTCTTTTGTGAATTATAGGTTGTATATCAAGACTTATAAAACATGTGATTTGAGTTGCTGCCACAAAATTGTGGACCCAGTCAATAATTGTCGTAATATTCTACTCCTCCAATGAATTCAACAATCAAAGCATTGTAAATACTCTGAAACCTCATCCCAGATGAGTACTGACAAAGGGCAGTGGGGCAGTAGGGCAGTGTAAAACTTTATGGACGATGATTCTGTTGAGGCAAAACATTTTGAAAATAGTTAAATTGTTGGAAAAAAATGTGGGGAGGGAAAATGCAGCTAGGGGGAATTAAAAACCTGCAAATCTACATTGTTGTTAATTTTACCAGATACCTGGTATTGAGCACAACAGTTTAATATCTGTTGCGTTTTATTTTTT